GGTGCCCTGCCATTTCTGTGGACCACCTCAGAGTTCAAGTCCAGAACAAGAGCCTAGAGGTCTCTGAAAGCCCCCAAGGATACCCCCTTGGTCACTGAGAGCCTGCCCTTTTCTGCTTGTTTCGAAGGGCTTTTCATATACACAGACTCCTTCATCAGCTAGTCTGAATTTATAAACAGTTACTCTTATTCAGGAAAGCAGAGATGAGCAGTTTTATGTAAAAGTTACATCTCCATTTGAGAAAGAATATATAATTCCACATTCTACTGTCCCTCGAACTTTATTCCCGTTTATGTAGATCTTAATACAGTTATATAGTCGCAGGGCTAACGTCCCCTTTGGATGGTAATGAGGTCCTCTCGAACCCTTTAGCTGCTATAAAGTATGCAGAAGTTAAATGCACAGATGGAAAAAAATTTGTCTCAATTTTATACTTCTGCAAAATGGTAATTTTGTACTTAAAATGTACAAGATGGATGTTCAGAAATATAGGCTGATAGCCTAAATTATATTTGGTCATAATTTATGTAGTACAGTCCCAAAGAGATACAAAAAGGCAGAGCATAATTTATCTGCTGGAATCAGCGATAGCTTTGCTAAAACTACCATTTAGTCCATCCCCCACAGTTTTGAGCGGCCTCCGTCCTCAGGGCTCACTCTATTTAAGTTCCCCATACTGCTGTTTGATCACATATTGTAGTCTATAATTTGCCTATCATCTGAAGCAAATTTAGGTCCCAGAAGTTATGATCTCTATGTAGCAACCACTTTATTTGGTAAATGCAAAATATTTATAGCAATATAAAAACCAGATGAAAATAAAATTCCTATAATCATTGGAACATACACACTTTATCATTGCGACTCGTAACGACCGTCAGAGAAGAACTAGCATGTTGCCTAATAAAATTACCTTTGGATGTGTACTTGAACTTGCTGATGCTCGGGAACCAGAGAAACATGTTCTCCAGCATCCTTTTCATCCTGCCAATGACAGGAAATGCCAAGCATGGGCTCTAGATAGGGTTGTCCAAAAGGAAATTAGATGAAAGGCAATGGGCAGGTAAGTCGTTATGGCACCTTGAATACGGATAGGAATTTCCAAGTAGAAACAAATCACTTGGTGAGGGCACTGCTCTGGACAGGTTCACACCCTTTCAACCAGGGACACTGACCAAATAATGAATGTTGACCATAACCCCATCTTTGAGCCAAGATCAGTGAACTTCTACGTTGACGAAACGGCTTGGCTTCTTTGGGCCGTCTTTCAATACCAGTCTTCTCACACTTCTAATTGTTTCTCTTTGTGTTTTCAAAATGTTCACTTGGGAGAGGTTCAGGCTGGACCCTACAAAAGACCTGAGACACAGTCTATCAATAGCTCCTTTAAAAAACCCCTAGCTCTTCAAAAGAGTATGGGGAGAAGCAGAGAGAAGACAGACCTCAACTAGAATGGACATCTGGAAACCAGAGTGATGGCATCCATGTAGTTACTAACAAAACACTTGTTGAGTGCATGTGCCATAGATTCCATTCCTTGTAACAACACTGAAAGGTAGAGTTTGTCATTCTTACATGGTCTATAAGCAAATTAAGACCTAGAGAGGTTGGTCGGTCAAGTAAGGGGTCTAGGTGGACGTAACACCCAGGTCTGACGCCATTCAAGATGGTGGTCTCACCTGCTGGATTTTTCCATGAGCCAACACAGGACACCAAGCTTTCCAAGACACCTCTGCAAGAATATTGCTTCTCTATCCTCAGAATTGTCTCCACCCACCTCCCCCTCCTTCCATGCAGCCCTCAAGGTTGCCTTCAGCTGAGTGAAGATGAAATAGAGCCCCAGATACATCTCTCAGATAAAAACTTCAACTGAAGCCTCATATATTTCAAAGATACTAAAGAGCTCATGGCTCTTTGAAGACAAGTGTTAGTATTAATCATTGTAGTTGTTCAGATCATTTCCTCGTTTTTAACATCACCCAAGCCCTCCCACCAAAAAGGCACCATTTCTGGGTCCTAGGGAGCCAGACCCTAAAGGATGCACTGGAATTCTCTGGATACTTACCTCCTTCTTCCTTGCAACTTATTTCCAGTTCCAGCTTCTTAAGTCTAAGAGAATATCCCCTTTTCAATTCTTTTTTACCCCCAAAATGCTTAAGCACACATTTCATAGAATTCTGCTTAAATCCAAGTGTAATTTTACAAGGTCTCTTTTAAACACTGTTTTTCCATACATCACACTGAAAAAAGGGAAAGAAAATGACCCCAAAATAAATGCACAACCCAAAATTAAAGAGGACGTAAGAAGGGCAAAGGAAATACCTTGGGCTAATTTATCCCCTGGTTCTATAATTGCCTCAAGACCAAATATAGGCTCTGAAAGTATCTGAGCGGGAAGAAACTCTTAACACACAAGAACTGTGCAGCAGTGGGAGAAACTGAGGTTCAGAAAATAGACCAGTAAGGAGAACAGTTATGTTGTGAGTTAGGTCTTCCCAGGTAGCATGTGAACAATGAGTATGTCCTTACCCTGCCATATTTAAAATGGATAACCAACAAGGCCCTATTGCATAGCACAGAAAACTCTGCTCAACGTTATGTGGTAGCCTAGATGGGAGAGGAGTTTGGGGGAGAATGGATACATGTATATGTGTGGCTGAGTCCCTTCACTGTTTACCTGAAACCATCTCAACATTGTTAATCGGCTATATTCCAATACAAAATAAAAAGAATTTAAAAAAAAATTGAGTGTGTTCTCAAAAGTCAAGAACTATTGCACTTAGAGGTGATGTCAAGAATATGTGACTTACAGAATCATCCATAATGAGTCACCAAGTCCTCCTCCGGCTTGTTGGCAAGTCTGTGAGAAGCTGATGGAGTTCATTCATCTGTGGTCTGCCAATCCGCCCTCCTCCCCATGCAGAAGCAGAAAGAGCAAGGGGCAACACTGACTTTTGTCAGAAGCCTGCCTTGTGGGCATTTGGTTTGTGTTCTCTCTTTTGACCATAAATAATCTTGTGAGTGATTCTATAGCACAGGTACAGTAGAAGTGCTTTACTGTAAAGGCCAACTACTTTCACAAGGACACACACAAACAGATCACAATTCCTATAGACATGCTACTATAGAGGTTATTTCAGAGGGATAAACTACTAACGATACCTGGGTGGGGGTGAGGGAGACCACATTCAAGTTGAATCTTGCAGGATGGGATATTTGTGATCATAGTTCAAGGAAGGGACAGAAGTGCACAAGTCCGAGGAAAGGCTCTTTAGAACCCCATAGGAAGTGCTTCTCCAAGTGCTGAGCCAAAGGGCTGTGTTGTTCATCACCTTCTCAGAAATCATTCAAACCAGCACCGCCTCCCTGCCACTCTGCAGTCAGGGGCTCTTGATATGCAATATTAGAGAGTGCCAGGATGGGAAAGGCACCGCATAAAATCAAATTCTCTTCTATTTTAAGTTGAGTGGTGCACCGGTTCAGCTTTAAAACCTAATTTCTTAAAAGTTTCAAAGGGGAAAAAAATGTCCCTTTGCAATTGGAATCGAGTCCACATAAATTAACAGGCTGGCTCTCCGTATCCATCTTTCAGAACTTGCCCTGATTGTTCATTTTAATCAAGCGGCCCACATTCTTTGACTTTTCATCCTTCACTGCCCAGAATGATGCACTGCGGCTACTGATGACACGCAAATGTTAATTTTGTTCAAGTTCAAACATCGTCCAAAAAGGACCTATTTTAAAGACTGCTTGGCAAACACCAGCTGAAAATGAGGATGAACAGAATCAAACACCACCAAGAAACTCAGAGAAGAGAAAGCTCTGGTCCTCTGGAAACTCACAAGTTTTCATCTCTAAATCCTCCATCTCTCTGAGGTGGAGTAGAATCGCTGATGTCTTGAGTCAGAAGGGAACTCAGACATCATCCCAGCCCTTTCAGAGGTCATTCATTGTGGTCGTGGGGGAGCTAACAAACCCTTGGTTAAGGAGCCTTTAGTAAATTGTGAAACCCAAGCCTTTCAAGTCTTGCTGTCATTTACCAGGTTTCAGGAAGAGCAAGGCATGTCGCACACACAGACACACACACATTTAACTAACAGGCTTATGTAGACCTCAGGCACCCCTTCACCAATCACCTGCTACCTCGACCCTGTCTCTTCAGCATGGGAGGTCACCACTGCCTAAGGAAGGACACAGGGTGACAGCTGCTCAGAGGGGCTGCAACAGGAACTGCATGCTTGAATGAGGAGCACCATCCCAGTTCTTCTCTAGAGCTTGTCAAAATCCCAACCGTGTCCACAGGCATCTGATCAAGCAAGATTCAGATTCACATTCAGAAGGCATTTAGTGAACACCTACTTTGCCAGGAGGTCCCATGGTAGTTACCATAATGAGTATATTGTGTCGTTTAATACAGCCACACATAAAGAAATTAACATGTATTACAATCAAAGCAGTTTCATATTAAAATAGATTGGAAAGAAATTGCAAAGAACTAGAACCCACTTTAAAACTCTGAAAACTTGTATAGACTTTGTCCCTTTCCACTCCCCAGGTCACTTTCCATTGGATTATCATGTTTTGTTTTCTTCATATATCCTCATTGCTGAAATTAACTGAAATATCGTCTGTTTGTCTCTGCCCTACACCAAGCACCATCAGAAAATAACCTTATCTGTATCAATCACTACTGTGTCCCCAGAATACACAAAGGATATCTTTGAATGAATGAATGAAATAATTTTGATCTGTTTTTCACCAGGATTCTCCAAAGCCAGATCGTGCCATATAAAGCCCCCCAGCAGAAAAGGCAGGGGTCTGTGGGTCTCTAAGACTTGGAGAACCATGTCCCAGCAACATGGCCCTAGAGAATAAACTTAGCTGAATACTGTGGTCCAGGCATCCCGGTGCCCTTGCCCCTAGAACGCCAGCATCATGTAAACAAAGCATCGGCAGTGACGAGTCCCGGTTTCCGCAGCCCATCAGATGAAACTGCTCACCGTGGCCGCCCATCTTCTGCCAAGAAGAGGCGAGACACTTCCACTGCGACGTCAAAAAAATGACTGCTGCTATTCCCTGAGCGATAACAGCCCGTCTTGAAATGCGGGACATGTTTCCTTCGCCTTATAATAATCGCGTTCTGTCTTTTAACCCTCAAAGTGTTAAGTGTCGTCATTTCCTCTGGGGATGCAAAGATCTGGGGTTAACAACTTTCTCTTTTAAAAATTCATAAAGGTGCAAACAAACAGCAGTGCAGCCGATGGCTACACACGGGAAGAAGCCAAGGGAGAAAGAGGAAGAAAAAACAGCCACCACCACATTCTCCCCCACAGGACACTTGGCAATTAACTCCAGCTATGTCAGCAATTTTTTTGAAAAATTTCCTAAACATGGAGAAGGCTTATCCTCACCCTATGAAAGACAAAACCACTGCAGTAACTCTCCCATGCATTACAATGTGTGTGTCTTACTTCTTAACCAAGCCGCTAATCACGCAAATTATTGCAACTAATTACATCTGAAGGTCTAATTAATTCTTTCAGTACCACATCATTTAGTACGCATTCACAACACAGCACCTGTTTTGAAAATCCTTGCAGTTAATTTGTTTATAAACAAACACTATTTGCATAAAATGTTTAATGAATGGTTTAACAGTTAGTACAATACTCCAGTTTTGTCTTAGTAGATTTCAGGTCATCAAAGGCCACGATAAATTAATTTTAAACTATACAAATTAATTTAAATAGAATGTGTGAATTTCTCATTAATAAAGAAAACATTTCCAACATGTTAATTAATATCTCTGTAACAGGCTAATTACTGCCTGCACAACACGTACATCTTGTGAGCAAACCTTAAAGATTTGGGGGGCAAGGGGGTGGGGACTATTTTAAAGCTGCAAGAAAAAGTGCAATTCAGAGAAAAACACCAGACCCAATTATTCTGAGGAATTTAGTGTTTAGAGCAGGCCAACCAGCAAAAGAAGTGATCCCCTCCCCTTGCTTTCTGGATATAGCACATTTCAGCCATCAAGAAAGAGACAGTTAAAAAATGTTTCTATCACGACTCCACAAAGATGGGTAGAGGATGCCTGCCTTCTGGTAGAAACATGCAATTAAGGAAAATATTAGTTCTCCTGAAAGGAAAAGATCTCTCTTGTGAATTTAGGGCATACTGGCTGTATGCATGCCCCAGTGGTAAATATGGATTTTATTAAATAAATCTGCATCTTAACACCAGAATCTGAGGCTCAGCCACCATCATTTCCCCTGTGGTAAACCATGGAAAGACACTTCATGTAGAAACTAAAGAGGAACCACATTACCGCTTGGCGTGGAGCACAGCCCTTGCCAGAGCCATCACTGAAATATGTTCACAACCCTAAAGTTTGTTTCTGATTTGCAAGCATTTTCACATTTGATAAGCACCTGTTGTAAATTTACATCCACTCAGGAAGTATTCTTACGATAGGAAGCTGAACATTGTAAAGCATATTTATATTCTTACCCTTGTGCAGTGTTGCCGCTTAATGCTCAGGCTGATGAAATCACTGGCTATACAGGACCCAACGGGAAGTGAGGCACCACCTAATTCTCATGGCATCATCCCTGAGGAACTGCAGGTCCCTTCCCCCTGAAAGGATTTTACTGGCACTGATCAACAAGCACTTGGGTGTTCAGTCCATTAACTTGAAGTGCATGTGTGTGTTTGTGTGCGCGCGCACGCGCGCGTGTGTGTGTGTGTTTGTGGAGGCTGTGGAGGTGGAATGACAAAGAGAAGCACAAATAGACTTCACACTTCCTTGAGACCTGCCATTACACTACAGAATCAAGAAACCATCCCCAAATAACTAGGAGCCTCAGGCCTTTAGCGCCAGGGAAAAGCAGGCACTCGCCAAACCTCTGATGGAACCCAGATTTCCAATCTGGTGCCGCTGCCCACAGAAGGGAACCCACCGGCCACATTGGCCCTCAGTCCTGATGTTTCTTTAGAGGCCCATGAAGAGTGAAAACGTCCCAGGCAACCCACTGCCAGGCTGCCCTGGGGAGCCCTGTGGGCTGTGAGAATCCCCTGGCTTGGCTCTTTTGGCAGATCGCTGGCAGCCAACATCCACGTCCCCAGGAGGCACCCAGCTCTCCCTGCCCCATGGTTCCACCCAAAGCCAAGTATTTCCCAGGGACCCCGGGCTGATGGCTGACGCAGCAGAAGAATAATAGATTTCAGAAGAGGCAAGCAAGCCAGTGCTACCCTTGTAAAACTCTTTTCATTCTTTCCAAGTTTCCCACCAACAGCCCCACAATAAAAATTCAGTGCTTGAGAGATAAACATTTCAAGAGGACAGGCAGGGATGAGGAGAGACAAGCTCTTCGCCCTCAGGACACAGATGTAAGCTGCTTTACCTCTAAAATGCAAACAAATAAACCCCAAAGAGTCAGGGCAGTTAGCACCAGGTGCTCTGTGAGGGGAGCTGGCACGGAGGGGAGAAGAGACTTTCAGAGAACATCTTCCCATTCCAGAAAGAGCAGGAATGGGCACCTGGCTCTGCTGGGAAAGGTCAGAGAGCCTCGCAGCATAGATGGGACCAGGGAACCTGACGGCCACGTGGTTCCTAACTTCTCTCCAAAGTCGGCAGCAGAAAGCATCCAGACACTCCTCTCGCACAAGATCCTTCCCAGATCTGGAGCCTGGTCTTTTCCTCTCCCCATTAAAAATCACCAGCATTTTGCAAATAAAGGCGATCACCATGTGAAAAATTATCTTTTAAAATGGAGTTTAATTTGCATATAAGGAACGAGAGATTTATGACGAGCAGCATCGTCCAGTACTGCATCTGCCTAGCATCAGTCGTAATTTAGATTGTTTGTGACTGATCTTAAATTCTAAAGCTTGGAGAAGATGAAGTACTCTGTTGCTGTATTATTGTCAGGAGTCTAAGACTTACCAGAGATTTATTAGTAATCTTATCACAAACATGTCTCAAGTTTTTGCTTTTAATATGTGCCAAGCTCCTCTGAGGAATTTTCCTCGCTGCAATTATATTCCTCAATGCATGCATTCTGAAGCTGAGTTGATTTCCTTCCCAAAATAAAGCGACCTATCATTACACCACAGCAGCTCTTGTACATTTTTCCTCTGCTACTTAATAATCAATGTATTCATCATTAAAATCTGAGCCCTGAAGCAATGGTTTTTAGCATATTCTAATGACTAGCGACTTGCAAATTACAATGACCTTTCATGTACATTCTGTAAGCACCTTGTTCTAATGTGTACTGTATTTATAGTTTGCCAATACAAACTAGCCAAAGATTGGATAATTACTGTAATCTATTAGCTCGATTGCTTTCCCTGCTCATTTATAGCATGTGCCACGCAGGCCATTTTCAAAAGCTGGCCTATCTTTCATCTCCCGCAAGCTCAGAAAGTAAGGGATACTTCATCTTCACAATATACACACTTACTAACGTCTGAAGAGCGGCCCGTCTCAGCTCAAGGAGGTTTCAAAAATAAAGAATCTTCCTTCCTATTAGTGTCATAATGCTATTTGTGACTGACAAAAAACACCGCTCCGAGAGTGTAAACTTTCGTTGAAGAATGTCAAGGCCAGTTCCATTTTCTGCCCATTACTCTGACCTCCAAATAGCATTTAATAAGATCTGCTTGTTTTCCTCGCTTTGAAAGAAAAAGATAAAGGCACTTCCCTTAAACAAGAAACAATTTTTTCGCTATAAGTAAATGTTGCGAGGGAAGCATTAAACTTTTTTTTTTTTTTTTAGTATGGTGCTGTGACCAGGGAGCCGATAAGAGCCGTGTGTTGAACGTACCAGCTCAGGTCGCCCGCTGACCCTCGGTGACGGTCTATTTCAGGCAGTTATGGATAGATAACATTACAGACACTGGTAATTAAAACAACACTAATTTTGTCTCGGTGGCCACGCTTTGTTGTTGGAAGCCATCTATCATGGCCTTCACGCATCACACAATGAGAAGACATTTGTCTACGTATATTGTGCTTGGTCAACGGTTTTACGGATCTCCCCGCGTACCTGGACGCCCAGGCACTTTTAAAGACGTAGTGCTTTCATTTCTACTCTGGTGCTCTGATTAATAAAACATTTTGCATGCTTAGTCAAAACACGCTGCATTTTTTTCACCACATGTATTCATGGGGGACAAAACCACGTTAGTTCCCTTCCTTTTAGCAAGAAAATAACAACAACAACAAAGAAATTCTCATTTGGATTGGAAGAGAAAGGGGAAAAAAATAAAAAATGGAAATATTTGCCTTCTCTGTAAAACAGAGAACAGCCTAATGGAGAGCATGATATTAAAACGCACAGGCAACACAAAAGCATCTCCTTTAAGATGATACATATTTTTGACTATATATGCTGTTGATTCTTCCCTCTGCATCCATTTGTTTGATTTATGGACACTCTATTTCAACTTCCCCTTTTATTCCAACATCTACAGTTACATGAAGAGTGATGGCAAGTCAAATGTTTTTATATTTTGGTAATAAAAGCAAAAGAAAAGATCTATTCCATAGGCACTCTTAGGAAATTAGGGGAGGCCGAACTGCACACTGACTGGTTTAGTTCTGTTGTAATAAACTAAAGGGAAACTGTAATGGTGCATTTCAAGGGATCTTGAACAAGTGACACAAACAAGAGAAGCAGCAGACAGGACCATTTAACTTCAAACTCCACGGAAGCAAACCAAAACGTAGATTTTCTCCAGCAAGCCCTGCTGGCTACTGGGTGGCCATCTTCATTCCTCAGCAGAAAAGCCACCCCCTCAAGACTCTGCAGGCTCCCCCAGCTGCATTTCTTATCAACTGTCTAGAAGGTGGGCGCTGTTAGAATGCTTTTCTCTAGGTAGAGGTGATCACAGCCCCTTTTTCCCCTTTGGCTACAGACACACACGCAGTTTCAAATATTAGCTGGAACTCCGGTTCCTAATTGCTCTCTGAGGGAAGGGATCGTAAACGCAAGTACGGATGACAAAGATGCAGGCAGGAATCCTGCATCAAAGCTGTTTGCAAAGTGACACAACTAGTTATTAAAAAGTACATTTTTATTCTAGTCTTAGAATTTGCATTCCTCAGA